AGGTGACATCTTTTCTGGAGAGGCTATATTTCAAATTGTGACACCACACAACCTGAGAGAAGGTGTGCTGCAGACAGCACATGATGAAGTTGCAGGTCACTTAGGGGTGCAGAAGACTTATGACAGTGTTGCGGTATTTTTACTGGCCCTGTTTGAAAAAGGATATTTCTGCATACATTAAGACATGTCATACTTGTCAGTTAACAGGTAAACCTAACCAAACTATTAAGCCAGTGCCTTTGTCTCCCATTCCTGCAGTCTCCCAACCTTTTGAGCATTTGTTGATCGACTGTGTCGGCCCGTTGCCTAAGTCTAAGGCTGGAAGTTTGCATCTGTTGAAAGTGTCAGTCCACATGGTATCCTGCTGCATATCCTTTGGCAAACATTACAGCTAAATCTGTGGTTAAGGCTTTGAGTCAGTTTATTTCTATCTTTGGCATTGTTAAAGTTATTCAGACTGACCAGGACACAAATTTCACTTCACAGATGTTTGAGATTTTGAAACATGCAACATGCTTACCATCCACAGAGCCAGGGGGCTCTTGAGAGGTTTCATCAAACCTTGAAGTCTTTGTTATGAACCGTGACTGGCAAGAAGGTTTACCTTGTTGTTGTTGGCTGCCAGGGAAGTTGTACAATCCAGTGCTGGTTTCAGTTTAAATGATCTGTTTTTTGGACACAATGAGGCCCACTGGCAGTACTACAGGGGGAGTGGGAACTACCTGATCCCCCTAAACCCTTACTGGGTTATATAAATTGTTTCAAGGGATGGCTCTTTGGAGCATGTAGAATGGCCAGAACAAAATTGGAGTCTTCTCAGAAGAAAATGAAACAGTTATATGACTAACCGAAAACCATATTTTTTGCCCTGGTGATCAAATGTTGGCCCTGTTGCCTTTGGTTTCATCCCCTTTCCAGGCTAAATTTATGGGGCCCTATTCTGTGCTACAGAAAGTGTCAGATCAGAACTATGTCTTATCTACCCCAGATAGAAGGAAGGCTACCCAAATGTGTCATGTAAACCTGTTAAAGCTTTACTTTTCTCATGCTGCTTCAGGAACTGGAGCTGGGGTGAAACCGGTCGCTGTGGCAGTTCCTCTGGGGGCAACCAGTTCTAATCTCCAAGGAGCCAAGACAGACTATTTTCCCCTTCCTTGGATGGTGGATTGCGTGGATCAAGTTGGTTCAGCTAAGTTTGAGTAAATTTGATCATAAAGGTTACTGGCAAGTCCCATTGACACCACGGGCTAAGGAAATTGCATCCTTGATTACACATACAGGGTTGTACTCTTACAAAGTCATGCCATTTGGGTTGAGAAATGCAACTGTTACCTTCCAACGTTTAATGAACCGGTTAGTTTCTGGTTTGCAGGGGTGTGCCCTGTATCTAGGTGATGTGGTGGTGTATAGCGGCACATGGCCAGAACATTTGCAGCGTATTCAGGCCCTGTTTTATCGCCTGGCCTGGGCTAAGCTAAGCTCACTGTGAATTAGGCAAAGTGTGAGTTTGCCAAGGCCACAGTGACATACCTGGGTAAGGTGGTTGGGCAGGGTGAAGTGCGGGCTGTAATGGCAAAAGTTGAGGCCATTGAGAGGTTTCCTCCTCCCAGTACAAAGAAAGAGCTCACCCAATTTCTTGAGATGGTAGGTTATTGACTGACCTGGTGAGTCCGAAGGTCAAGTTTAATTGGTCAGACCATTGTCAGAAAGCCTTTGATGATAAAGCTCTCCTTTCTTGTGCTCCAGTGCTTGCAGCTCCGAATCTAAAGGAACTGTTTCACATCAAAGTGGATGCCAGCAATATGGGTGCTGGGGCTGCGTTGCTGCAAACAGATGCATCTGGAATTGAGAGGCCAGTTAGCCATTTCTTGTGCAAGTTTAACTTACCAGTTGAACTGCTCAGTTGTAGGGAAAGAGGCACTTGCCTTGGTTTGGGCTCTCAGTACTTTGAAGTGTACATAGGTAATGGGTGTAGGCCTGTAGTTGTGTACATGGACCACAATCCTCTGACCTTCCTACATTCGTTACAGAATCCAAACCAGCGTTTGATGAGATGGTGTCCTTATAGCCTTACCATCTTGATGTTCGGTGTTGTGGAAGTTGTATTCCTGGTGAAAGGTTGAGCAAATAATTGAGTTACAACGAACCGTTGTCTTTGAAGAATTTATTTAACAAAATAGAATAAACAGAGAAGTACTACAACAGAATCAGCTGGACCACAGGTTCTGTCTCCTAAGACAGTCACTAACATCTGGCCCAGAGCAAACAATTGCATGATCATTTACAGAGTCTGAGCATGTTTTGGGGAACAAAAGATCCTTGACTGGTCCCAGTCAAGGAAGGAGAAGAACAGCTAGTGAGGAAAACAATCAACAAACCCACATCCCTGACCTAAACCCCACACATGTGGACACACTGGAATAACCAGAACAATAATAAAGATGGAACAGTTTAAAGATGTAAAACACTATATAAGACATAATAAAAGGAGAAAAATAGCACTCTTATAAGTACTTGCATAAAAGATGATAAGTGTAAGAAGAAAACAATTTTCTGCCCTTACATTCGGCACATTAAACGTTCTGATTATGGCTGATGCATTGTCTAGAGCATAAATTTAAAATGGTTATAGTTCCTGTTCTGATCGGTTTCCAGTGTTTTTTTCAGGACTTATGCGGATAAGGTAATTGGAACATCCAGTGAAGCCATTTTTCATGTGATTCTAACTTTAAAATTTGAATGTAATTACCACTCCATAACTTTTTTAGGGGGGGGGGGGGGGGGGGGGGGGGGGGGCCCAGGGGTTGTCTGTTGTCTTGTGCTGGTTTGGTTTGTGAGTTCCATGCTGTCTATGGGCAGGGCCAAGGCCAGGGTCGTCAGGAGATGTGGCTCACCTGTTCAGCCTGGCTGAGATGTATTGAAGATGGCTGTCAACTCTGCCTACTCTCACTCTTTGGATTCCCACCACCCTGGGACACACCAGCGCTTCAGTTTTGACTTATGTAGTTTTTTCTTTTTGCACTCACTACATTCATAACACTCCTGATAATACTGATTTTCACATTTGCCTTGAAGCTTATGTTTATATTTAGTTAATACAATAAAAGATTTTGTGTTTGCGTACTAACAATATGGTTAATTATTGTTTGACTTTGAATACAATACAATTTATTGAGAGTGATTGAATTAGTGTTCGGTGGCTTTCTTTTATTGGTGTATGTTTGTAGCAAAGGTAGCTGGCTATCTAATATCCTACTACTCGACTGATTTAAGTGACCGGTTAAGCTAAAGGCCATTCTCCTGTCTGGTGCCCAACATATTTGGATATTTTGATAATCCTCCGCTACAACGTGGTGTTTTACCAATTAACACTGGTACCAGCTGTCATTAATTACTGTAATGACTTTCTAGATTTTTACATTACTGAATAAGACGTTCACCATTAAAATTCAACTTCAGTTTCACTGTATTTTTTTTTTAAAGTTATACATGCATAATTTAACACACAATTGTATTTCTTAAAAATATAATACAAGAATAACATGTAATGCTGTATCTTTAATGCTTGGTTTCTTGCAGTAATCTTGATGTTGTGCTGGCTGTCTTCTGCTTATCTGTCGCGTTTTCGTTAAGCGTCGGCCGTCTTTTTTTGTCTACTATCTAATGTGTTTTTATCAAGCATCTGTCGCCTTTTCTGTTCAGCAAAAATTCCTTTAGCAAGTTCACTCAAAGCTCACACAGGCTATAAGCATCAGAGGTTGGAAGTTGACAATCAACCCCTTAATCAGTAATTAAACATGTAGTCTTAATATCGGCAGACTAATACGTCAATCTGTCCCTCATGTAGTCATAACAGTAGAGAACAGATTTTGAACACCTGCAGTCATAATCTACAGTCATAATCTACAGTAGATAACAGTTGAACAAGGCGTGCATAGTTACAGCGTCTGCAGTCAGTACTCCCACTCGAGGACCTAACCACAGTGAGATTGTTTTTGTGTTCATGACTACAGTTCACCACTTATAAGTAAAGACAAGGCACATCTAGGTAAAAAGAAAATGATTATTAAGATTGATTAATTTGTACAACAAAACCAGAATAAACAGGAGTTGGCTACATTAGGGTTAAAGTTAGACAAAGTTCAGTAACTACATTCAAAATACAACTTGACTATCACTCAGGCTGAGTAGGCTACTCAATGTGAAAAGTGGCAGCTCCCATCAGTCATGATTCTTTGGATGTTTCATTCATAATGCTGTTTTTCAGTGTTATCTGTGGTGACTGGTGACAACGCTGCTGTGTGAAAAGACACATTATGAACTAAAAGAGTCATTTGGAAAAGTATTAATACAAAAACCCAATGAAAAGAGCTATATTATGAAAAATCTTTAATCTTTCCATGTAGCGCCATCATCAGGTCAACATGTCCAACACTTTGGTTTATGACTAAATACCTGCAGAACAAAAACTGTTAAAACACACTTTGACAGACAGAATCATCTTGGCTTCATCGCATCAAACATCATTTCAAACATATTTCATATTTTGTAAAGATTTCACACATGTAATTAATTTATCCTCATCAGCTTCCACAAAGTGGCTGCTGGTTTTCATGGCTCCACACACACAAGTCAAAATAATAAAACATGAACAACTATTTAAAACGACACAGTGTGGATAAAAAAGAAACGGCTAAACCAAACAAACATAAAGAAACTCAGTGAAATCATTTTAAATATGAAAAGGCCGACAGGAGAAAATAAAAGCTGATTGTCAAACTAAATAACAAGAAAAAGAAAATACAAACAATAAAAACAACAAGTGAGAGAAAATAAAGATATGTTTGGAATAATGAGACAGCAGGAGGACAGGTGCAGCTTAACAGGTTAAATTCAGAGACTTTTCCCTTTAAGAAATCAACATCATGACTATAATCATCCTCTTTATCTCTAACTGCTCTGTTCCACTGTCACACAGACCTTCACTGCTGACAGCTTCACTTCATCCCCAGTGTAAATAAATGGAAACAGCCTCTCAGTGAAAGTGTGTGTGAAGGTGTGTATGTGTGTGTTAGTATCAGGATCAGAGAACGACAGCTTTCCTCTGTTCCAGTCCAGATTCACTCTGATCCTCTGGGGCTTCTTCTGAACTCTGAGAACAGTGAGTGGAGCTGGTGGTGACCATGCTGAGTATTTACCTCCAGAGAACCGTATTCTCCAGAATCCAGACCGTATGTTGTCCCCTTCCTCTGAACAGACTCTGCTAACACACCCAGTAACCAGCCTGGACTGTCTCCAACCTCGACATCCCAGCTGTGAGTCCCTGAGTTAAAGCCCTCAGAGCCCAGGACAGAGCGGTAATAATTAATCCTCTCTGGATTGTCAGGAAGCTGCTGTCTCTCTCCTCGTCTCACACTGGTCAGATCTTCAGACAGGATGAGATATGGATCAGCAGTGTTTGGGTCCAGAATGAGAGGAGTGTAGGAGACCATGTCCTTCATCTTGTTCCAGATGTTGAAGGTCAGGTTGCCCAGGTGTTTGGCCTGGTCTATCAGAGCTCCTGAGGGCAGCTGTGGATCATCCAGCAGGGGGCGCTGCTGGACTCTTTCCACTGCAGCCTTGTAGTTGAGCAGGAATGAGACGTCTTCAGCTCTCAGCTCCTCCTCTGTGGCTCTGACTGTGTCTGAAAGAGCTGCTATCTCTCTGCTCAGAGCCTCCATCTTCATCATCTTTTTCTCAGAAATCTATTAAAACTCATAGCTAGTTTTGGAAAAGTTTAACAACAGTCACTACAAATGCATCTAATGCAGATCTAACAAACAAATCTGAATGACTTATTGTACTCTGTCTTTTGTTGTTAAAACACATGTGCCCTGCCTCTGTCTCTGCTGTCCCCATCACCTGGCTCTCACCTTGGCCCTGTAGAAACCTGTTGGAGGGTGTTTTCAGCATGGGCAACCCAATTAATGACAACTGATCTATAAACATTGGGGCATGAACAAGCTGTGGAAGGGGATTATACTGCTGTAGTTCACAACCCAGACAGCATGCTTCTCCAACAACAAAGTCCATCCATGCATCTTCCAGCCAGCAACCCTGCATCAGAGTGGAAAGGCCTGCAGACACTCACAAACTACAGGAGACCATCCCCCAACGCTGCTGGTACTCAACAACTGGCTAATGAGCTGGTTTTTATGGTAGGTTTGATGCCCCATCCACACTATTGTAGGCCTTTTGCTACGTTTGCACCTCCTGTTACAGAGCTCGATTGGGATCCCGTGGGTCCCTCAGACCCAACACAGAAATACGTTACTACTGAGTATTTGAGTTGGTATTTATATTAAAATATTCTGTACCGTGACTTCCGGTTGGACTCAAGCCAAGATGGCAACTTAAACTCGAAGCATCAAACTCACCTTCAGTGTGTGGAGCGTCAGCAGGTTGAAACAGCAGTGTTGTAGTTTAGTTTGTTGTGGTCATTGCTGTAACAATCTGTGCCTTTTGGGTCTTCCGGAGGGTGAGGAGGGGGACAGCGCAATTTCTTTCCTGTAACGCCATCTCCCGATCTGGTTTCCAACCTTAATGGAGTGAGGCAACATCGAAATCGACAGGACTCACACAGTGTACCAACCCTGACCCTTCCCTTCAGTTCGTGGCCGAGGGGGACCCCTTGTATGTGGGCATCGGTGCGACCCTCTCCCAGCGCTCTCCGGAGGACGGCAAGCTCCATCCCTGCACTTTCTTTTCGTGTCGGCTGTCGACCACAGAGAGGAACTACAGCGTGGGTGACTGAGAGCTTCTGGCCATCAAGCTGGCTTTGGAGGAGTGAAGGCACTAGCTGGAGGGAGCAGAACACCCATTTTTGGTATGGACTGATCACAAGAACCTTTCTTATATAGTAAGTAAGTTAGTAAGTAAGTAAAATTTATTTATATAGCACGTTTCACGGATAAAATCACAAGGTGCTTCACAATATAACAACAAAATACAGTTCTAGCTAGACACCAGAAACACATTGACATATGACAGACAACTTTAAAACCAAGCTTAATGTTATGAATAACAGTCTTCAGCTGCTTTTTAAAAGAAACAACACAGTTTAAGGTTCGTAACGAAGTGGGGAGTGTGTTCCACAACCTGGGTGCAGCTGCTTGGAAAGACCGGTCTCTTCTGGTCTTAAAGTGGGTACGGGGAACTACCAACAGCCTCTGATCTAATGACCTTAGGTTACCGGGGGGGAGAGTATGTTGCTGTAACAGGTCGGAGATGTAAGAGGGAGTTTGACCATGTAACGCTCTAAAAGTAAGGAGCAAGATTTTAAAATGAATTCTAAAATGAACTGGCAGCCAGTGAAGTGATGATAGGACTGGAGTAATGTGCGCTCTTCTGCTTGTATGTGAGTCTAGCAGCTGAGTTCTGGACAGCTTGGAGGCAAGTGAGTTCTTTATTACTCATGCATGTAAAAAGACTATTACAATAATTTAAACGGGAGGATATGAAGGCGTGTATGATAATCTCTAATTCTATCTTTGACATCAGCGATCTTAGTTTGGATATGTTCCTTAGTTGGAAGAAACAGTTTTTCATTAGTTGGTTGGAATGATGCGCTAGGGACACTGCTGAATCAAAGACAACACCTAGATTCCTAAGGCTGGTTCAATGATTGCATGCTTAAAGGAGATAGGGACAATGCCAGTTTGAAGTGAGATGTTAAGCATGTTCACAATACTAAGGCCAATTGAATCAAAAGCTTGTATAAAGAGCACAGTAGGGAGGACATCCGTAGAACAGGAGGAAGGTTTCAGTTTTTCCAGCAGGCATTTGATGTCATGCAGTGACACTGGGTTAAGAGGACCAAGAATAAGAGGGGGTGGGTCACTGAGAGCAGGATTGGAAGGAGTTTGGGAGACATTTGACCTGATATCTGCAATCCTATTTACAAAAAAATTCAGAAACTCATTGCTGCCAGTTTTACAAAATACAGCAGCTTCAGGAATAGATGGGGAAACAATAGTACTAGGTTCTTGTGTTCTTCAGCAACTCATTTAGTGAAGCAATTTGGTCCTTGAGGTGTAGTCTATGGACCAAGTTTTGATTTTTTCCATAGACGCTCCACCTTGCGACAGTTTCTCTTAGATTGTATGGCTTCGTTCATCCAGCGGCAATGCTTTTTGTGATCAGTCTTGGTAGGATTGACAGGTGCCACTTTATCTAAAATTTCTGTGCATTGGTTGTGAAAAGAATCAATAAAAATATCCACATCCTGGCATCGCAACAACATAACGGGTTCAAACAGAGCAGTGAACTTCTCGGTGACATCCTTATTTATGATACGTCTTTGGGCCCTGGGCCTCAGGGGCAACAAGTCCAATGGGAAGTTAAGTTGAAAGAATACACAACTGTGGTCACTCACATGTACGTCCTCTACACAGACATTTTCTATCTGGAGGCCAAGTGAGAAAACTAGGTCCAGGGTGTGGCCCTTAATATGTGTGGGCCCTGAGACATGTTGAATAAAGTTAAAAGCATCAGTGATGGATAAAAGATCCGCAGCTGTGTTACATATGACATTGTCAACATGTAAATTAAAATCTCCAACTATTAGAACCTTCTCTAATTTAATTATAGTATATAAGAAGTTGGTGAAGTCTGTGAGTAAGGCACCTGCTGGGCCAGGGGGACGGTAAACTAGCACACAGTAAAACATATCCTTTGAACCTATTTTAAGTGTCTGTGACTCAAAAGAGGGGAAACTTTCAGAACAAATTGTTCTGCATAAGAATCTGTCCTGATACAAAGCAGCCAGACCTCCACCACGACGTGTCAGTCGGGGCTTCCCAATGATAGAGCAGCCAGCTAGACAAAGTTGTTTTAAGTGGACAAAATCCTTGTCCCTTTGCCACGTTTCAGTAAGGAACATGAAATCCATTTTCTCTCTGGTAAACAGCTCATTTAGAACATGTGATTTATTTGAGATGAACGTGTGTTGAGCAGAGCAATGTGAAGTGGTGGTGCCAGCTTGCAGCCTCTGAGAGTAGTTGGGGTGGGATTTGCCGTAGGTACCTTATGCGATTTGTTGGTCCCCAGCTGCATCTAGTGGTCACTCGCAGGTCAGACAGGGCAGCGGCAGATCCATACGATGACCTGTTCACGTCAGCATAACGTCACGAAAGATTACCGACCAATAGGGCAGAACTGGTGGTGAGGCAGCAGTGGAGGGTGACCACCCGTGTTGTGGAGTGAGATAGGCAGCAAACTGGTGGCCCTCTATAGACTGGATAAGGACTGTCAGGCCTTTGTGGCGGCCTGTGAGGTGTGCACCCGTGCCAAACCCTCCCATCAATTGCCAAATGGTCTGCTCCACCCCCTTCCTGTCTTGGTCATCCCTGGTGTCATATCGCCCTGGACTTTGTCACCGGTCTCCCCTGCTCAGACGGAAACACAGTTATCCTCACCATCGTTGACTGCTTTTCAAAGTCTGCCCACTTCATCCCCTTGCCTGAACTTCCTACTCTCTAGAAACTGCCCGTCTGCTCATGAACTATGTCTTCCACCTTCATAGAATCCCTCTGGACATCGTCTATGACCGGGACCCCAATTCACTTCTCAGGTCTGGAAGGCTTTCTGCCGCGCCCTTGGTGCCACTGCCAGTCTCTCCTCCGGGTATCATCCCCAGACCAACGGGCAGACCGAGCGGGCCAACCAGGACCTGGGGGTGGCACTCAGGTGCGTGGCGTACCATAGCCACCCCTCCTGAACCTCCTACATCCCCTGGATTGAGTATGCACACAACTCCAAGGGCAGTGCCGCCACTGGTATGTCCACATTCATGTGTGCTATGGGTTTCCAGCCCCCCTTATTCCTGTCCCTGGAGGAGGAGGTTGCGTTCCCGTCTGTGCAGGCCCACCTCAGACGCTGCCGCCGGATCTGCAGAGAGGCCAGGGCCACTCTTGAACGCACCTCGGCCCGCAACCGTCAGCTGGCGAACCGCCACCAAACCCCGCCTCCCACCTACCGGCCTGGACAGAAGGGTTGGCTGTCCTCCAGGGACCTCCCTCTGCAAACCTCCTCCAAGATATTCGCCCCCGGTTCATCGGCCCTTACCCCATCAAGGCCGTCATTAATCCCTCCGCTATGCGCTTGACTCTCCAACCTCACATGAAAGTCCACCCAGTCTTCCACATCTCCAGGATCAAAACCTCTCCACCAGCACCCACTCCATACCAGTGGCAGCGCCTATCTCTCCATGGATGGTGGATGGTTACCCCGCCTACATGCTGTGTCGCCTCCTGGACGTGCGATGTACAGGTCGAGGCTACCGATACCTAGTGGACTGGGCCGGTTACGGCCCAGAGGAGCGATCCTGGATCCCTGCCAGCCAAATTCTGGACAAATCCCTCCTGACAGATTTCTACAGAGCTCACCCTGACAAACAGGGAGGTCCACCTGGAGGCGTCTGTTAAGGGGGGGGGGGGCCTGTTATGGTGGCAGCCCAGCTGACAGTGAGTGTCCTGTTTATTTCTCGTTTTTTACCACCATTCCGTTTTCCTCAGTGTTTTGCTTGCCACTCTGTGTCTCCTTTGCTCCCCCTGCGCCTCCCCTGCCTGCCACACCTGCCAGAAATCAACC